GCTTGCTCTGGGCGGCGCCCTGCCTGCCCGATTGTATAGTTCCTGGCCGTGCTTGCTCTGGGCGGCGCTCTGCCTGCCCGATTGTATAGTTCCTGGCCGTGCTTGCTCTCGGTTAGGCGCGCCGACTTTCATCTCATTAATTAGTTGACTCTTGTGCCTTGCAGATGCAGTGCAACTGCCCGGTGACGCGGCCCGGCCCCACGCTCGCCAACGCGTGCGGCGGCTCCGCCTTCATGCTCTTCATGGGCCTGCTCGAGGTGTTCATCCGGTCGCAGTGCGACCTGGAGGACCCCTGCGGCCGGCCCCAGTCGCGCGAGCGCGACCTCAACAACGAGTACGACTTCATCGTGGTGGGCCTGGGCTCGGCGGGCGCCGTGGTCGCCTCCAGGCTGTCCGAGAACCCCCACTGGCGAGTGCTGGGCATCGAGGCGGGAGGCAACGAGCCCACGGGCACGCAGGTGAGTGGCCCACGCGCGCGCGCACGCTTCCGCAGCCGCCTGTTGCAAGCTCTCTGAGCGCCTGGTAGGTAGGCAATATCTTGCCTGCACCGCATGCGTGTACTGCGGGGTGGCCTATCCCGGGTCTCGCAGGCGCTAGGCTCCTGTACTTCGCTGAGTGACACATGGCTCCCTTCGACAGGTTCCTTCCATGTTCCTCAACTTCCTGGGCTCGGACATCGACTGGAAGTACAAGACGGAGCCGGAGGACATGGCGTGCCTGGGCGAGGACGAGCGGCGTTGCACCTGGCCACGAGGGAAGGTAAACAAACCGGCCATCCGGGGCGGAACGGGCCGGACGCACGAGTCAACAGAAACGAAAAAAAAAAACGTAAAGGGGGCGATTACGTGGCACCGACGGTGGTTCGCACGTTTTGAACATAGGTCTGCACCGCGAGCAGACTGAGGCGGGACGAGGAGAGGAGAGGGGAGGTCCGGAGCTTTCTCACATGCCGCGCCCTCCCCGCGCCCCACGCCCCACGCCGTGGGAACAGGGCATAGGCACCACCGTATGTGGCGGCAAGCTTGGCCCTCCTGCATACCCGAAAGGTATCAGCCTCCTGGAGGAATGGAGCGTCAGGGATCCCGCTGTCGGGACGCCTCGCGGGGACCCTGTGGGCTTGCGCGACGACGGGGAGACCGAGTGAAGGGGGTAACAGGGGCCCGGCCGGGGCGAAGAGAAGGGTCATTCCGCGTGGAAACGCGGCGGGCGGCCTTATTTCATGTCGGAGTGGCGCGGCGGCCTGAGAACGCCCAAGCCTCGCCGCGCCTCGCGCGCATTGTGGGGGGCTTTGTGAAAGCAAGCCGCTGATGACTGTCCCTCTCGGGTGTCCCTCTCGGGTGTCCTGCAGGTGCTGGGCGGGACGAGCGTGCTCAACGGCATGATGTACATGCGCGGCAGCCGGCGCGACTACGACAACTGGGCGGCCATGGGCAACACGGGCTGGGGCTACCAGGACGTCCTGCCCTTCTTCCTCAAGTCCGAGGACAACCTGCAGGCCGACACCATGGACTCGGGGCTGCACGGCGTCGGCGGCCCGCTGACGGTCACCCAGTTCCCGTACCACCCGCCGCTGTCGCACGCCATCCTGGCCGCCGCCATGGAGATGGGCCAGCCCATCCGCGACGTGAACGGCTTCCAGCACACGGGCTTCGCCATCGCGCAGACCACCTCGCGCAACGGGTCTCGCCTGTCCACCAGCAAGGCCTTCCTGCGCCCCGTCAAGGACAGGTCCAACCTGCACATCCTGCTCAACACGACCGTCACCAAGATCCTCATCAACACGACCACCAAAGAGGCGTACGGGGTGAGTAGAGAAGGGGACAGAGGATAAGTCAGAGGGGGGGGGGGGATATTGCCCAAGGCGAGGACGCTACACTCGACCGCAGCTCGCGCTCCTGACTCACCACTGCCCTAGTGCCCCTTGGCCTCCGGGCCGCTGGACGAGCTGGCCACGAGGAGCGAGGGTCACTCAACCCATCCCTCTTGGGCAACGCGTCCAGCCGCTCCCTCGAGGTGGTGGCGTGGGCCCCGGGTCGTGACGCTGCTGCTGTTTGCCTAACGTTTTCGTCTGTCCAGGTTGAGGTGATCCGAAGCGACGGCACGCGCCAGAACTTCTACTCCAAGCTGGAGGTGATCGTGTCCGGCGGCGCAGTCAACTCACCGCAGCTGCTGCTGCTCTCGGGTATCGGACCGCGCGAGGAGCTGCAGCAGGTCAACGTGCCCGTCACGCACAACCTGCCCGGCGTGGGCCGCAACCTGCACAACCACGTGGCCTTCTTCCTCACCTTCACCATCAACGACACCAACACCACGCCCCTTAACTGGGCCACCGCCATGGAGTACCTGCTGTTCCGCGACGGGCTCATGTCCGGCACAGGGCTGTCCGAGGTCACGGGCTTCATCAACTCGCGCTTCAGCAACCCGGCCGACGACCACCCCGACATCCAGTTCTTCTTCGGCGGCTTCCTCGCGGCGTGCGCGCGGACGGGGCAGGTGGGCGAGCGCGCCGACGGCAACCCCAACTCGATGGCGCTCCGCACCGTCAACATCTTCCCCGCCGTGCTGCACCCCAAGAGCCGCGGCTTCCTCCGCCTGGCCTCCAACGACCCGCTCGCGCACCCGCGGATCTTCGCGCGCTACCTGTCGCACCCCGACGATGTCACCATGCTCATCGACGGCATCAAGTTCGCCATCAGGCTCACGGAGACCGCCGCCCTGCAGAGGTGAGTGTGGCCACATGGTGGACACCCCTGTTATATTCAATTAAGGATTCTAGTGAGCTCCGGGTGACTTCGGGTGAGTTCTCTCCGGAGAGGTGCGGGTGAAGTAGAGAGAGTGGGGGTAGAATGCGGGGCAGAATAGGCAGAGGTTTACGAATAAATTTTCGCTTTTAAAGGGACTTTTAGCCGTTTTACAGCGAAACATCATACTACGGTTTACGTTCAAGAGCGTTTACTCTGATTTAAACGATTTAAACTGAAACCTAACCTAATCTGGGATCACGGACTCTACCCGAACCTCTCCGGAGAGAGTTGACCCGAACTCACCCGGAGCACCAGAATCCTTGACTGAATATAACACTGCTGTGACATGACCTGAACACTTTTCGATCTAATCCAGGTACGGCTTCCGGATGGACCGCACGCCCGTCGCCGGCTGTGAGAACCTCGCGTTCGGCTGCGACGCGTACTGGGAGTGCGCGGTTCGCCGCCAGACGGGGCCGGAGAACCACCAGGCGGGCTCATGCAGAATGGGACCCCCGGACGACCCCGGCGCGGTGGTCGACCCGCAGCTGCGCGTGCACGGGCTCGACCGGCTCAGGGTCATCGACGCCTCGATCATGCCCGTCGTCACCTCGGGCAACACCAACGCGCCGGTCATCATGATCGCCGAGAAGGGCAGCGACATGATCAAGAACCGCTGGCTTCAACGACACCCCAACACGGTCTTTTACAAGAAGTGATGGGCCGGTGCCGGAGGAGGACCACAAAGGTCCTCGTGCTAAAGGCCACCCTTTTCCCCCTTTTCGAGGCCATTGAAAGCCGTACCGGTACCGGGCATGAGGGACTAAACAGCCCCATTGTATATCTCGCTTGCGCACATGTAGTCGACCCAGACAAAGTTCAGCGCCTTCGTGCAAGAGCGCTTTAGCTGGTTCGACTACGTCGCTTTCCAGCAGTGCATAGGGAGGTGGAGGTGAAATACACTGCCCATGTGATAGTGCAAGCAAATTTTCAATTCTATCAAACAGTTTTTTTACATTTTTCAAACAACAATTGCACTGGAAGAATTGAAGCACCTCCTCTCTGGTGCTGAAGTATTATAATACAGTTGACATTTTGATCTCGCTCAACTAAGGTGGCTTTGTTAGACCCACCTTACTGCATTTTAATATGCAAATTATAAATTAAGTTTAGGTTCAGTAATTTTGTTGTAAAGAATGCTACTGTTTTCTTGTTCCACGAGGTCATGAAAGTTAAAATCAATACTAGGCAAACAAAATGTCACATGGTTTTCTCTCGTAGAAAGGTTTTGGAGGTGCACTTGTTATGACTGACAACAGATATAAAAGTGATTTTTTATTATTTTCAGCCCCTGCCATAGCCAAACAACATATCATGACCATTAATCAAAATTTTAAAGAAATTCTACAGCTCACATTGTGGAGTCTATAAGTTCAAATTTACATGTTAAATTACTAACCTAGTAATTATTGGTTGTATGACTGTGCGTATGGAAGATTTGAATGGATGAGTGTATGAGCAGAATGGATGTTCTATGTAAATTATTATGGACAATCTAATTATTACAGTAGATTTAGATCAGAAAAAATGAAAAGAAATTTGAAAATTATAAATTTAAACATATTCTTCGATTGAATTTTCTTATGCCTGGATTCTTGAAGCTATTTTAAAGCTTACCAGTTAGCATGAGACAATCAATACAAAAACCTCACACTTTTCCGCAATATGGACGTGCAATAAAACAAAGAGGAAAAGTATTTTAAAATTACAAGTTGATGTGATTTTTGATCAGATAGTTGATAAATAAACTTGCAAATAACTCAAACAATGAAGTACACAATGAGGGCATAAGTTTTGAACCACATTAGTTATAAATTTATGCATCTTGTCAGGAGTAAGCACAAATTCCAGGAACAAGAAGACTTTTCCCAAACATACGTATGAAAAGTTCTCCTAGAATATTGTACCGTGTGTCAGGGCCACGACACAGCAGTATGAGGGTTTGCCTACTTGCTCCACCGAGGGTATGCAAATCCGCAACACTGTTTTGTTGTTGGCCTGACAAACAGTACTCCACAATATTTTACTACTTTCAAAATTTGTAAAGAATTCAGTTCTGATTTTAAAATATTAAAAATATCAGAAGTAAAGCTACAAACAAAAACAATGCTATGCTAAACACATAAATATCATACTGTCCTTAGATAATGGATGTTAACTAAAAACAAAGGAAAATTGTGAAAAAACCAAAAATTGGGTTCCCTTTTATGAACATAAAACAACATTAATATGAACAAAGAAAATTGAACACAAGAAACATCAAAACAACACGAAACAAGATAAGTAACGGGAAGACATTAATTGATTATCATAATCATATGTTATTGACTAAAAATAAATCTCTTGGAATTCATAACATACATAACATATTCCTATAGCTCTCCTAAATTAAACATTATTGTTGATAAAAATGGATTGGTTTAAAGATGATATTATGCAACATACTTTGTATGTTTTTGCCTAAGCTATAACATAGGTTGGGGAATGGGATGCAGATTACAGAAAGCTGACAGATCAAACTAGTGGAAATCAACAACCTACACATTGTTTACTGCAGTCTTAAAAAGAGGTGCGTCCTGGAATAGCTTCAGAAATACAGATTCTAAAAATTTGATAAAGCACTGCAGCATTTAGCACCAGGACAGTTGTATCAAAAAACAGACGACCAACAATATACAGATCACAAAACAAAGTGAATGAGACTTTAAACATACGTAATAGTTGGCTTTCAATTGCAACATAGACTAGACAGAAATGTAGTGATTATTGCACAGGTTAATACCACTGCCAGTGTGTATGGTTGTTGGGGGCCCCTTTTCACACAACAAGTTTGATTTGCATAAATGTAATTCTTAATTTTCATCATCCAATGAATGATAGGTGCTTTTATTAAATATAGCTGACAAAATGAATATCTATTAAAAAAAAAAAGAAAAAGAAAAAAAGAAGAAGATTGAAGTAGAACAGTCTTAAATCTTGAAACCTGAAGAAGAATATCAATGATAATTCCTTGACTGATTTTACAACAGCTACAGTCCACAAAACATATCACTTATTGTCAATCATTGTTAGTTATTATTATATCACAAATGCTGTGTACAAACTACACATGACATGTCCCCATGTCTCCCTACTGCCTACAAGATATGAAAGATGTATAATAAATAATCAAAACACTGGCATTTGCCAGTAAATGATTTAAAATGATAGTTGAACAAGATCCACAAAGGACATTTCTCTCAGTGCTGCATACATACTACTCAATAACTTTAAAAAGGAGCAAGAAGTAGCACAAGTGGTTTTAAAAGTTGGAATTTTTGCTGGTAGACCAGAATTAAATAAAAAATTCAATATACGACAAATTACCATCACAGAACACCGTGCTGCCAATTCAGGAAATAAACTTCTAATGAAAAAATGATAAAATCATGGTTAATACAATGAAGAAAGTTTTTGAGATCTAGAAAGCTTAGTCTGATAGGATCCTTATTTGAAGTGTGAAAACCTTATCCAGATGGATCTTAAAAAGGAACATTACTTTATAAATTGTCTTATTGGTATATGCACTCGAACACTCAATATCACACTGTTGGCGTTCGCCCTGCATTTAACACAGCCATTAGACGCCGAAGTCTCGGCGCACGCTTTCTTCTTGGTCTTGTTCTTGAACGGTAGCACCTACAAGCTAATATAACGGCAGCTGCCGCAAGGGATATGACAAGAATAGCCGGGGCCAAGTCTACAAGTGCAATACCCTCCTCTTCAACTTCTATATCCACTCCCATTCCTCTATCAAATGAATCCCGATCAATGTCCATTTGTGCAGCTCCCTGGGCAACACGGAATAATGGCAAATCCCCGTCTATTGCAACCGATAGAAGTTTTTGTGCTTTGTAAAGGTTGCTGCAACAGATACAGGGTTCAACTTTTAACAGATATCCTTAAAACAGAATAATAATCCACACCCAAATCAAGCTAAGGGTCCACAGATTAAAAGTAAACAAAACACAAACTGATGTGTTTCAAACTACACTAATTAACAAACTTACGTTGGAGCAGAAGTGTTGAGTGGTTGAGGTTTCGCCCACACAAGATGAGGGCAAGTTGGCAGTTCTCTTGTTCTCAATGTTCCCATGTGATTTTCAATAACTTTTGAATATCTATTTCATAAAAACAATACATATAGATACTCATGAGAATATCATAATAGGTACTTTCAGAGAACAACAAATAGATTATTAATAATATACCCACCGGTACAGATGATTCCCTTCCATTCTTTGAGGTAATGGTTCATCTGTTGATGGGAAGGTTACTTTGGCACTGTTATCCTTAAATATAGATGGCATGTGACCAGTTGATGTGAATTCCAACAAGGCATCCAACATCCAGAAGCAATCTGAATAAAAAAAGAGACAACAAAAATGTGAGAAGAGGCAGATCACTTGAGTTTTGAATGTAATTGATGACTAAACTACTAAACTCACCTTTCTGCAAATGACTATTGTCCAGGCAATTAGAGTCACCATACACAACAACTCGGCCACTAGGTGATGAAAACACTTTTTCTGTTGTAGCATCGTCAACTTCAACTTCATTTGGTCTGCTTTGCAAAAGACCTAAAATGGGTACCGTACTTGAAACAGTATCAGCATCAGAATCGAGAATTTCCACTCCTTGGTCCCTCAGTGACCTTGAAACCACAACTCCAGAGTCTGGAAATTTCAGAAGGCTGGCCCCAGATGCATAGTACATTTCATGCTCTCCAAGGTTAAAAGACCCTACAATTAATAAGAAATAAGAATTAAAAATCAAATTAAACCACGTCACTAAAAAAAACTCAATTGTGATTTACTGCAGCAAATGTGAAGCACATACCTTCATGAACATTATCACTAAGTGCAATTCCCCATGGCGATAGCAGGTCATTAAGGGCAGGTACATTTGCTCCCCCTGTATCTGGCATCCACCACTGCCGAGTATTTTCATCATAGAATTTAACTTTTCGCATGACAGAAACATTGTACCAATCAGCAAACACAACCAAGGATAGGCCTGCATCAACATCTCGTTTAAGTTTTGCAACTTCCTCTGGAAAATATTCTTCCTCTGGATCCACTATTAATAGGGTTCCATATTGTGATGCATCAAGACAACTTAGAGGAGAACCAAGTACTTCAATATAATAACCACCATTGCGTAAATGCTGATACATGTCCTAGAATATTTTTTTAAAATTAATATTTTATACTATTTTATACATTTTGAAACCGTAATACTACATTATAATAAAAAGGAATCTACAATCTTTTGTAAATAAATACCTTGAAATTAGTGTGAATATGATCTCCATTCCAGTCTAATGGATCACTTTTCATACGCAAGTTGTCTCTCGGGAAGTAGCCAGGGGGATACCTTAAATTATGATACTGATCCCACAATAATCGTTTACTGCACAAATTTATAAAGACATAATAAAAGTTACCATAAAGAAGTAATAATAATTTTATGAGTTACATGCTGGTCAACTCACTGTCGGGGAGGAGTTGGAATAATCTTTGCTTTAATGGCCAGTCGAACAGTAGACCGCCTTGGTTCAGTTTCTCCATCTTCTGGTGGGGATTCAATTGTCAGTTCAACATGACCCTGAGCCATACCTTCCCAATTGGAAGCAGTTCGTGTTACAGCAATGCTGACCTGAAATTTTAAAAAATTCTTTCAATAATGTTCACAAAATAATTAAAAACTTGATATAGTTTACAAACTTATGCTAAGATTCTTCATTTTAAATTTGACAAAAGAATATACTTACAGCCAACCATCCAGACCACGGCCAGAGAACTTCTGAATGAGTAAAAGCCACATCAATGTGATGCCCAAACTGCGGGGTATAGGGATGCCACACAGGTTTGTTGACAACTTTCCCTGACACACCGAGTCCATTCAGGATAGTGACATTAACAATTGTTGGAAGAGCCCCGTAATAGAGAGGCTGACTGCAATACGGCCACATATATTGGCACTCACTCAGGTCAATGTAACTGAAACATAAAGAGGAGCCTGAAAGTAGAAACATTCACTACGGCACAATACAGGTGTTATCGATTTCAGAATTACCTTGGACTGAGACTTGCTTGTGGCTGATAAGAATTAAGCACTTGATAAGCCCGCAGGAGATCAAGTTTGCCGTGACCTTGTTCAAACATATTAACACCAGGCAATCTACGAGCAGATGCAAGAAGAGCTTGTTTCATACTAGCCGGATTCAAAATATTTCCCCGGTGAAGAACACCACTAATAGAAAAAATACAAGCAAAGATTATTCATTAGCAGAGGGGATTTTAATTTCATATACACAATAAACATAACAAAGAATTCTTTTGGTGTACCTTGCCAAAAGTGCTACAGCTCCAGCAACAACAGGTGAAGCAACACTAGTGCCAGACAGTGTGCGACAACCTCCCATGATAGCTGACCCACGAACTGCAGCCCCGTACGTGACAATATCTGGCTTGACTCTTCCATAGCCCTGGGGAAGCTCCCAAGTAGTCATACCTCGAGAAGAAAACTTGGCTATTTGATCTTCAAAGTTAATACCACCAACGCCAATGACATCCATTTGATCTGCTGGGTTGTTGAGAGTGCCATATAAAGGCCCATCATTGCCGATTGCAGACACCATGATCACTTTGTTTGCAGTCAGTTCCCAGACTTTGTCAACAAAAGGATGGTCCATGAAATCTGGTCCTCCAATACTCAAGTTTAAAACCCCAATTCGCTTCAAAATGGCATAATTAAATGCATCAAGGAACCAAGATGTATAAGAAACCTGAAAATTGTTTGGATCAATGAATAAATGATAAAATGGAAGAAAAGCAAATTAATTAAAAACACTAATGAATGAATGATAGAATAGTTCATCTATTTAATAACTTTATAAGCTAGAAGAGGAAGGAGACAATTACCTGATTGTTAGTAAAAACACGAAACACGTGAAGCTCAGCATCAGGGGCAAGGCCTAGGCATTCTCTGTGCGAAGCTATCACACCAGCCACAAAGGTACCATGACCTAAGCCATCATCTAAAGTCTTCTCACTAGTCCAGTTAGTCCTCTCTTTTATGCGCTTAAAATGAGGATGAGTCTTTGCTAACCCAGTGTCGAAAACTGCCACTTTAACACCTGCTCCTGTGATTCCCATGTGCCATAGAGCATCAGCTTGAAGAATAGCAGTAACTTGACGAGGAATAGCTCGTAGAAGTCGTCTACTTGTATGCCTTCCTGTTGATTGCCAAAAATGTTTATTCACAGCTAGGCTCAGGCGTTTCAATGGTCGCGATGACTGCCACCTTTCAAAGCTCTCCGTGCTCGTTGAATTGTCAGCTTCACTGTCAAAATCTGTTGAATTTTCATACTGCAATGATCTCTGAACCATTCTTTGAGGTGTCACCCTCCGAATTGCTGGATGAAGGCGTAATGCTTCTAACCCATCTTGGCTGTTTTCTGCCTCCTCTAAAGTCACTACATCAAAGTCACTGGGATAGTCACTTGCTGGGTTGTTTCTTGCAAGAATCTTCCAGTTGCTTACATCAGAGCCATTCAAAGCGGCTGCAATAAACCTTTCTCTTGCTTGAGTCTTGTAATATGCATTGAACGCTACTATGTATTCATTCCTGACAACTTGAGTGGTGAACTTTACTTTCACATAATGTGGAGTAAGAGAGTCACTAGAGCAGGAATCGGCTAATTTAAAACGCGTTAACAGCAACAGTAAAAATGGAAGGCCGATACAACGAAAATATCGTTGTCTTAACCTGACTTTAAGCTTCATAGCTAGGAGCAGACAATTTACGCCAAGTTTAAGTGGACACTCCCATCGAACCTTCTAAAGTCAAGCACATTGTGTCCTTCGAAATCTCTTCACAATCACGGCAAGAACGTTATTTATTCTTCAACAATGTGCAAAAATTGAGCCTACATTCTCCGCACTTCGTATTTACTTTCCATTCCATGTCGATGTCGTTCGTTGCGATTTATTGTTGTTTGTTTTATTTGTTGATATCTTCTTTGTGCACACGGGAGATGTTGGATGGCCAGCACACGGGGGGGAACACAGTGTTATTAAGGCGGTGCTCGAGTGTTGGCAGGGGTTGCCTAGCTGCCAGGGGGGCCATCCAGATGCTGTCGGGCCAACATAATAATCTTGAACATTTGAACAAAGCAAAAATTCACTTTTACGCTCTAATGGGG